GCACAGCACAGCACAGCACAGCACAGCACAGCACAGCACAGCACAGCACAGCACAAGAGATTTTTCATTTTTCACGATTTTATTTCAGTTTTAGAATTGGATGACCAAGACGCCGATATGAATGCAGGTAAAGAATGAAATTAAACAACGCCGTTGTAAAAAAAAWAATAAACCCTGACGTATATCAAGGAAAAGAAGCTGAAATAGATACTATACCAGATTACTATACTCTCAGCTAGAATAACGAAAATTAATGATTATTTAGAATTAAATTAATTCCTCTTCATTGTTTATTCCTTTTCGTAGAAAATGGCCCACCGCTATCAAGACCTGGCAAAAAACGGTACTTCTCTATTTCTTTTAAACAAACGACCAATCAGCAAGACAGCCAATCAGCCAACCACAGCAGCAGCAGCAACGACGAAAACAACAACAACAWYAACAACAACAATAACAACAAGACAGCTAACCAAGACTAACTAAATAGCCAACCAAACAAAAAACTGGGAAAAAACAACCAACCAACCAACCAACCCACACACCCCCTCCCCCCCACTCACCAACCAACCCACCCATACACTCACCAAGCAACCCACCAACCCACCCACCTAGCAATTGATATCAAACAAATACCCATGAACCCCTTCACCACATAACCAGATATAACGAACGCGTGATCATTGAATATTATTAAATGCAGTATCACTATAACTTATCTTCCCTTCCTTTTTATTACACAGAAGATACAGAAACCTATTAATCACTTCTCTATTGTTTTTCACTTTTAGATTTATTGAACAGTTTACCGCCTGAATCCCAGAGATATTCAAACAAGATCGGTGGCACATTATTTCGCATTATTATCATGTTATATTACTTACGCTATTTTTTAAAGCTTAATTAATGTTTCAATATACCTATACATAATTATTTAATCCCAGTCTAAATAGTTGACAAAAAGTTAGTCAAAATTTTATTTCATTTTGTCTGATTGTAAATATTTAATAAAAGAAAGTTTTCGTAAACCTTTGTCTTCTTTTTGTTTTCATTTTTCTTGAGCTTTAGCAAAAACCAAACATACAAACAAATATTTTAGTTCATGGGTTCTGACCGATTTTTGGCCATTTTGCACATGAGAAGATATGAAATTTCTGATATGGATGCTAAATAGAATATTTTCCAATATTTTGTTATATAGCATGGACCGTAGTTTTGGTCGATTTTGGACTATTTTTATATCTTTAGAGAATATGATGCAAAACAGTACATTCTCATTGCAAAATTAATTAAATTTTGCCTGAGCAAAAATTAAAAAAATTAAAAAGATGAATTTCTTATTAATCTTTTTTAAATCACGTTTTCCTTTTCTTTTAATTATCATATATCTAAGGGATATATAACATAAATAATATATAACATATATAACATAAATAATTATAGTACAATAATGAACACGATAAGCGTTAAGTTTATGACCGTGTTACCTGTTCATCTCGCAGACTTTGTACATTTATTGACGGCTTTAATTACAGTGCGACTACTCCAACCAAAGCCACCTACCTCGACAAATTTCCTACRAATTAGCCAATCAAAAGTAGGAATCTGAACAATAGAATTGCTACAAATATCCATGGGTTTACACGGCTGAGAAGACTGACGGCACCTCTGTTGTCGAATATAAGCGTGCTGTCGCATAGCAACATGGTGATAAGATCTCACAGTGTCAGCCTGATAATATCTTTGTCTGGAAGAAAAACACTGTAATCATAATGACTGTCTTTCATACGGTTTCTAATTTGCTTTCCTGTCGTATTTGAAGTCGTACATTACTAATTTTCTCTATCTTTGGTGACACAAATCACTAATTTGCGAAGAAAATATATTACAAGCTCTTCTTCATCATTTAGTTTTACCAACCGGAACAACGGAACAATATCTAAATTCAAAATTTGCCGCTACAATATTGTCTAAATACTCAAACACTATTGGATAATTTGCAGAAAATTTGTCGAAGTGGCTTTGGTTGGAGTAGTCGCACTGTAAAAACTCTTTCAGATAGTTTAGGCTGTTTCAGTGAAAGAAGATCTAGGTACCGGATTTACAAATCTGGCATTATGAAAGAGGAGTATGGTGTGGCATGATTTACATTGGTGTATCGTAATCTTCAAGCTTGTCGAGGGCGATTTCATACTTTGAAGATGAGAAACCATTTTCAGGATAAGCTKGTAGTATCTCACGMTCATTGCTGCCTTGCGTTTCTTCAATGTGTCCTTGATTGCTCAGTGTCTCTGTATTCTTTTCATTGGGCTTTCCAAAGGTGTTTCCACGTTCACCGTTAAATTTCTTAGGCTTGTTATTGGCTTGTGAGAACACTGTTATCTTGTTATTGTAGATAGTGTTGCTGATCTGGTTATCGATAACATTGGTTTCTTGGTTGAAAGGGTTTTGTTCTTTGCCTTGCAAATCATCGAATTCAGTGGTTTGAACTATGGTACTTCGAGATACTCGAGTGTTCTCATCGGTCGTAAATGCTTGGTTGGTCTTCTGCATAGTGTCATTTGGTCGTTTCATAGTGCGTCTCTTTCTTCTACAAAAGATAGCAAGAAACGCGACACGAAACTCAGGCATGCGCACCATGTAGATGAAAACGTTAAGACCAGAATTGCAGAACTGAAGGAACTTCATAATGAAGATATCGTTGGAGTCTGGCAAGGGGCATTCCTTGCAAAAGTTTTTCACAACAACGTAACCTTGTAATGGCATCCAGGTGAGGAGTGAGGAAAGCGTGACTATCAGTAACGTGATGACAAGTTTCTTGTCACGCAATGCACGGTTCTGGTTTTCTGCTCTTACGTTACTTTGGCGTCTCATCTTGCACCCCATACTGATGTACGAAACCGTGATAGTCAGTAACGCCAGGGCGACAATAACGAAAGAGATATGCAAATATGTATAATAAACCGATCGTTTGAAGTGGCCTATGATGCTCATGACAGCAATAACAGTGGCCAAAATCCAAGGAAAKGAAGACAGTGCAACGTACACTCTGAATCGTAACATACGATGACGAAATGGGAATAGGATTGCTGAGAACCGCTCAACAGAAATAACTGACAGAATAAGAAGAGACGCCACTCCTGTTAAGGTGTCGAGAAATTCAAGAGCATACGCATAGGCGTTTAATTTGGGGCCAGTAAGGAAATGGTACAACAACAAGGAAGCCACCACGCCAACGAGGAGATCTGCTGCAGATAAGCAGATGATAAGGTAGTGAGATCGTCTGCGAAGAGACTGGGTCTTGACAAAGGTGATGATGGARGCCAGGTTACCTAAGATTATGATGGCACCAAGCAGCCCTAGTGACGTCATTTTGGCTATGAAGATCACCTGATTAAGTTTGGACATGGATGGCGACTTCACCGTCGTGTTTGTACTCACATTCATTTTGAAGCCTAGCCTATAAACGGAATTGACAAAATGAAATATGAAGTTTAATGACAAATGCACGAATTGCAGAAAATTTATCACTCGTAGATCAAATCAGATGAATGCGGATACGCCTGCTGTCGTTAAACAACTACTATCATAAATCATACGACAACAAAAACGTTGCAATAAAGTTAGCTAGGCACGTCACCAGAAGTCGTCCATTTATGGACTTCTGACGTCACCTCTGTTAACAAGAACATCATTGAAATAGGGCTTTGAATCTTGTAAAAAGTTCTTCGCGACAGCTCATTTGTTGTTGTTGTTGTTGTTGTTTCTTTCATATGAATTAAGGTGGCCGACTACTTTTGAGCGATCGATTTGAGTCCACGATGTGCGCGCGCTCAAAAACCGCCGAATAATCTTCACAATTTTATTGAAGAACCATACACGCTTTGAACTTCAAGAGGGCAAAACCCTCAAATTTTGCACGGGACTTATGAGCTTATTTGAAAAAACGTCTAAAAATCTAGATCAAATTTATCATTTCTTTGGAAAAAGATGTTTTTTTTCTAACACATGAAAAAATTGATTTTTGTAGGAATTTTTGTTCGACTTTATGAGAGTTTTTGAGAGGCTGAAAGGACAAAATATGACAAATCGATGTATTTCTTTGTGGCGTTTTGTTAAAAATATCCAAGTATGAGCTCATTTGAAAAAATTTCTAAAAATCTAGGTCATATTTATCATTTCTTTAGAAAAAGTTGTTTTTTTCTAACACATGAAAAAATAGATTTTTGTAGGATTTTTTGTTCGACTTTCAGAGAGTTTTTGAGAGGCTGAAAGGACAAAATACGACAAATCGATGTGTTTCTTGGTCGTTTTGTCAAAAATATCCACTTATTATTGTAGAATGATTGACTAGCCATCATTCGTGCAATCTTAGAGTCTGAAAATAATTATCATCTTATGAATCTTAATTTTTTTCTGATCACTTCCGTTGGCGCAATATATATTTGCTTCAAAACTCGCGCGTAGGAACCATTAAAGGCTGATTATCTCGAAAACAAGCCCAGGACAACCCATGTTTCTTTTCATATTTGGAATCAGCATTAAATTTCAGGTTTAAAAAATCTTAATTTTCAATTTCATGTTTATTTTTAACCAAAGTAGTCAGCCACCTTAAGGTTCCAAGGTCGCTATTATATTATCCTGGCTTTGTTTTATACTTTAGGTTCTTTTCAATCGCTTGTCTTTATCTAATTTTCAATTTCATGTTTATTTTTAACCAAAGTAGTCGGCCACCTTAAGGTTCCAAGGCCGCTATTTTATTATCCTCGCTTTGTTTTATATTTTGAGTTCTTTTCGGGCGCGCGTCTTTATCTACTAGCTTTGTATGACTTTAATCAACTAGGGAGCACCCAAATTAAATTACGTTATTAATATTAAAGATTTTATTTGTGCTTCTTAAAAGATACCTCTCGTACTTACTGGTGTTGTTCAGTTCCATTAAGGCGCTCTTCTTTATCTATACTATCTTTGTATCATGACTTTAATCAACTAGGGAGCATCCCCAAATTAAATTACATTATTAATATTAAATAATTGATATTGCGCAGAACCAGAACTTGAAGAATTTTTATTTTGACGTCATGAAAACTTCGTTCGCACGCGTTATTAAAAAAAAAAAAAAACTCAAAAACTGGACGGTAAAATGTGTTCAAAAAATTCTATACATTTTTATCATGTAAAGGTTAAACAGTTGTCAAAATATTTAGAGATTCGGTACTATGGAATGTTTTTTATTCAGCAAATTCGAGATTTCGCATTATTTGAAATTCTGTAGTACCGAATGCTTTTGCATTGCGTCAAATGAAAGGTGAGGTAACGTACTTTTATTATAAATAAAAAAAATTAAAAATCACCGTGGAAAACTTGAGTTCTTAATTTTTTAAAAGAAGAGAATAACCTTCATTATAGTGTTATAGTGTTATAGTGTGTCAGATTCATAAAAATTGAACAAAAAACTCATGAACTTTAATGTGGTTGGCCCTTTGGGTATCAACGTGTGAGCCTGCATTGTGTCCTATTAATTGGAACTACCGAAAACTCTAGGGAACCACAATCTTGCTGGGGTTCAGAAGTTCCATTTAGGCGCTAATCTTTATCAACTACMTTTGTATCATGACTTTAATCAACTAGGCTGCATCCCCAAACTAAATTACATTAATATCTTAACAAACTCAGGATACCCCATAGTGTCTTTTCATTTTTTAGAATCAACGTTAACTTCTCGGTATAAAATATCTTTCAAACTAAAAACATTCCTTTCGCTAAAGTAGTCAGTCTCCTTAAATTACATTTACTACTTATCATATTTGTGCTACTTAAAAAAAGAGGCCCATATCAAACATATTTATATGATATTATTTTTAATCCTTAGATTGGGGTTGCGGTGTGGCCCAAGTATTTTGCACTTTACTCTATTTGGCTAGTACATTTCCTTTGTAAATAAATCTTGAGGTCTACAATATCTTATGGCCAGTCCACATATCCGGATATTTCCGACAACGGATTTTTTGTTGTTGTTTTGTTTCGCTTGTTTGTTTTTGTTTTTTGTTTGTATTTTGTTTTCGTTTTTTTTTTTTTTTTTTAAGCGGATTGGCCCACCGTCCACACGTATCCGGTGAGTCAGTGCCGTATGCGGGCCCTGCCGCGACTGTGATGTTTCCTAGAATGTTGATTGGGGGATTTTTTCCTCGGGGAATGTGATTGTTCTGGCAGTTTCCTGACATTGGCGTGACCGTGTCCCCCCGTGTTCGTGCCGTGTTTTGTGTATTTGATGTATTCTTAAACGAGAGCAAGTGCTGGATCAGGTGTTCCAAACACCGAGAAACTAATGAAGGCACGAGGCCGTAGGCCGAGTGCTTTTATTGTTTCGAGGTGTTTGAAACCTCTGATCCAAAGCGAAGCTCGAGTTTAAGAAATGGCTTCTCTGATTCATAATAATTCATGAAAGAAAGTCAAATGCTTCCATGAGTAAATAGTAGGCGAGCTTTGTTTCTATAGGGCACAATGCCTCTAATTGCATATCCCCAAACGTTTGGAATAAAATTTTGGGTTGTTTTACTTATGCAAAATCAACTTCTCAATTCTGATTCGATCTTGGGCTTTCGGGGCTCCATTAAACTAGCTTTGTTAAACTGGGTGCCCCTGGATAAATGTTGATTCCGTTTTTGTTTTTTGGTGTTTTTTTTTCGTGTCTTTTATATATATTAGTTCTCTCAACCCAAAACTTTCAACGATTTCACAGTTAGATTCGTTAATAAGGCTCTAGAATATAAAGCCAGAGGTACCTTGTTTTGAGTCACTGGACATTATTTACGAAATACACCGAATGTTAGGGAAATAATTAGGTAAGGGAAAAAGAGAGTGAAGTTAGTGGAAAGAATGGGAAATTACTTTTATGCTAATGAGATCCAAAGACCATGGATTTGGATGTCTGATCCAAACCCATCGGTTGAGATCCCAGTTTGAGATCGGGATATCCAAACCCATGCACGTGACCAAAAAGCGCGCTTCCGATTGGGCAATCAACTCATGAATTATTAATGAGTTCGAGAATGGATGAAGAGTAAATTCTCGTACAATGTGATTGGTCTTTCGTAAGCCTTGCATTGTCACGACCGTGTTCGTGCCGTAAGGCTTTTTTAAGTCATACGAAAACTACTTTAAGCTACTTGAAAATACAATTAAAGAAGAAGAAGAAGGGGAAAAAAAACGTGTGTACTGTTTTGAAAGTTTTAAAATTGAACTCCCCTAGTCGTAAGCCATCTGTGCCTATTAATTAATAATTATACTCGAGGTCGCGCAATTTCCATGCGGTGAAACTTTATTTAGCAGAGAAGAATATAAATTTCATATTATTGCGACATTTACCAATAAAAGTGACCAATCTATCAGTGAAGTATTATCGAAAGCTTTCCTAGAGGTTAAAAGAGGTTTCTCTGCTAGAAATATCCTAAAGATAAAAAATATCGTGCAGAACAAACCCCAGAGAAAAATAAATCGTGCAAAGCTCCATGTTTCGAAGCATTTCCGGACATCTTGCAAAATTTTCTCTGGGGGAGACTCCCTTAAATAGCAATTTCTGACCACCAACATTGGCCTTTGGCAACTTTATTGTGTATTAAAAAAATTATAAACTCACTGCGATAAAAATGAATTCCTGCAAATGAAATCATGCCGAAAAAAATTCCTGCAGCGAGTCGAAAATTTTTTTTTGCAATTCTAAAACAAGATTATCGAAAATCTAGGAAAGCTGAAACTGAAATAGTTCAGCAAGTAAACGATAAAACTAGACTAGATAAAGTTACAAAACCTTTTTTTATGTTGTGGAAGCTGTATAAAAGGATGTTAACTTACCGTGGATGTGAAAAGATAGATGTCCCGTCAAATGTGTTTTTTGCTTCTGGCTTGATATGATCCCTAGAGATTATTTTATAATAGTTCCGTGATCAAACAAAACAAACAGAAGTAAAAGCTTTCTATTCTCACAAGACTACATTGTTTTATCAGTATTTGACAGCTTTGATGGATCAAGACACAACCCCCCGTTGCTTTTATAAAATATTAACAGTGCAAATTTGATATTTTTTAAACTAGTTTWAAAAAATTTCCCATGAAAAAGTAAAAGCCTTAGAATACTACATTGTTTTATTAGGTTACAGCTTTGATGGTTCAAGCCACGAATCCCTGCTGCTTTGATAAAATAGTAACAGTGCAACTGAAATTTGTTATTTTTAACAAGCTTAAAAAACATTTCCATGAAGAAGTAAAAGCCTAGTCTTATAATACTACATTGTTTTACAGCCTGTGACAGCCTTGATGAATCAAGCATTCCCCGCTGCTTTAATAAATAATGAAAATTGCAAATTTGATATTATTTAACAAGTTTTAGAAATTTTCTCATGAAAGTGGCAGAGTTTAAAGTCTTGTATCGTAAAAAGATATAACTCAAAAAACTTCTAGAGTGCGAGATCTTAGTCTCATGATCAATATCACTATTAAGRATGTTCGCAGGCAATCAAATGTGAAGAAAATCGGTCAATTTTCTGAAACTTAATATAATAACCAGTGATTAAAACAACAAGAAGACACGCCAAATTAGGCCAAAAAATAATAGGGGTTACTAGGCAATCCTGCAAGTAAAAATAACTTAGTATTCGATATCATTTCCACGACTACCATATAAATCACGAGCAACGTGCAAGTCATCAGGCGGTTAAGACAAAAAATAGTTCCTCACATGTAAAAAAATTACAAATCATTTGTGATTCTTACACCGTTATAGAGAAAAAAATATCAATTAAAATGCAGTTATAGCTTATTTTCTGTACGGTTTTTGTTTATGAGGCAATAAAATTAACACTCTCTTTTTGAGAGCGGAAAAACAAACAAGGTACAGCTCGAACAATGCTATCGCTTTATGTCGCTCTCGCGAGTCAACATAAAGCAGAAAATGTCTGTGGCATTTCCGTGCGATAAATGAATGTCATTCTTTTTCAAAAACTGAACGAATGCATGTTTTTGACTTTTTAAAAAGAATATGAAATAAAAAGTGGGGGTCACCGAATACAGTACAGGGCCCGGTCGTACGAAGCCTGGATAGCGCTATCCGACGGATAAATCTTATCCAATGGATAAACTTGTTGGAAAACAGCATCGACTTATCCACTGAATAAGGGTTTATCCGCCGGATAGCGCTATCCAGGCTACGTACAACTGGGCCTTGATAGAATACAGGTGTGCTGCTATTTCCTAAGGAATAAGCCATTTATTTTACAATAATATTAATGTAATGACGGATATTGCAAAGCAAAATTATATGAGATGTAAAGTGCGCTACGCGCAGATGTTACGTTCGTAAATCAACTAATGTCACTTTGCTCAAATTCAATTACATATGTTTCTGCCACCAGCTGTTTTCAAAGACAATCATCCTTCTAGTATCATTTCATTCTTGGAAAACCTATTTCTAGTATTTTCTTTTCTTTTCTATTCCCGTCCATTAAGTTATTTTTAAAGTTAAAATTAAATATCAGATTTTGTTTTCTTTTGGAAAAAGAAATCAATTCGATGACAAAACTTTTGATCAAGAACGATAAGTGGGGTTACAAGAGAAATGGAAAGTTTTACAGCGCCTCTCAATCACACGTGCGAAATCGTGGCGTCGCGACGAAGTAGGTTTTGGTGGACGTCAATCAAGGCGTTTTCACAACATTCCATAGGCACGTGCTCTCGAAARCTTTTTGTTTTCCGGCAACGTCATGGAAAAACTTTGGTTTACGTCCACCAAAACCTTATTTTGTCGCGAAATGTTTACGATTTAGCGCGTCTGATTGAAAAGCGCTGTAAGGATACYAAATGACGATTAGATAAAATTTTCTGTTTTTTCGTAATAGAATAACTTCTATCAGCCACTTATCATCTAAAATAATAAAATAAGATTATTAATGAGCAATAATAACTACGTATTGATCATCATCATCATAAACATCATAAACATCATCATCATTATTATKCAATTGACGGATTTTAGTATAATTATAGTATAATAATAATTATAATAATTATAAGAATATAATCAGTATAATTATTGTACTAAGTATTAAAATTATCTAAGTTTACTCAACATTTTAACTGTCCTCCTTATGCAGAAGTTCTTAGTGTCTGTCACCTGTGTAGGAGTCTACATTTTAATGCACCTATCAATGTAAGTCCCGTGGGGTGGGGGGATTCGGGGCAAAGGGTGGGGATTTGATAGTAATTATGTCCCCCTGGGTCGAGAATTTAATCACAACCTTGTCCCGAAGGTCGGGAAATTTGATTTTTGAAAGTGCTTGAGATTCCTGTGGTAACATTCTAGGAGCGGTCACTAAGCAAAGCCTCATGGTATTTGAGCTGTTTTTCTTCGTAGTGCAAATAATTTTGAGGAGCTCAAAGAAAAAGGTGAATAAATCTTGTTTGCACTATATTGCAAATATTGCTCTCTGGTTAGGGCTTTTTGAAAAATTTGATTGACAACTTCTTCTCTACCCTGGGGCAATTGAATTTTGTTAAGAGCATTTTTTCAAATCCCCACCCCTTGCCCGAATACCCCCCCCTCACCCAACGGGACTTACAATGATAGGTGCATAACTTGTATATGCTCGTTCGGGACGAGATATCTTGCTGCTATGGCAACGTGACCTTACAGATGTATGCCTCTATTTCATTGGTTATCTTTCGTTCTGCTCGAGGAGTGATTCTGGAAGCTCTTATCATTCGCAAGTCTTTGAGCAAAAATAAAAACTTTGAGACAGCAGTTTAGTTGGAGCAAAGGCAGCCCAAACTATTTGATTGTGGTGTGTACGAAGGCATTTACGATAGCAAGCATGACGAAACAAAAATTGTAATTTTGTTTTCAATAAATTTGAACATACCTTGCTCTTGTTTGTTGTTAATGGTATTTGACTCGTTCTGGGTGATTTTTTGTCGTTTTAGGGCAGTTTTTAGACGATTAACCCACCAGTTAATAAACTAGGCTGGCGACTCCAGCTCGACACCACTCGTGTTTGATAGCCACGAATATCATGTTTAATCCTTCCTTTGCCTCAAAAATCCCTTCAGCACAACAGCTCAATGATTCTTCTCTACAGAAAACTGCATTATTTTCTCAGATCCCGAGTTTAACTTTATGAAATCCTTGAAATTAAGCGATTATCTGCTACACTTTTTGCTCTAGAGCTCGATCAATCGCTATCCGGCTTCGTTGACATGACCTAGAACCGCTGACTTCTTAACTGCGGGCTTAATTTTGCAAATCTCTATCTGTTTGGACAATGGTTACCATGTAGTACATTCAAAAATATGTAGGATGCCGCAATTTTTTACAAGTTTTTTAAAAGACAAAGATTGACAAAAAGGGCCAGCTGATCTGGAAACAATGTTAGCCAATCATGATCAAGAACTTTACTTGCAAAACTAAGGTGTTACTTTTCCTCTTCAAATTAGGTATTTTCTTCAGGCCACCAAGAAAAACTAACTAATGAGCACTTGATAATAGTGACACAATATTAAAGTGCTTATAAGCCTTTACACAATATTTTCAGAATTGATTCTTTATATAGTGAATAGTTGATCGTGAAAATAATTCGTCATTTGAATGTCGGGTCTTCGAGATACGAAGGCTTATATTTCCAATATGTCAATGACTAGGATAGGATAGGATAGGATAGGATAGGATAGGTGCCCGCTAAAGTATAACACTAAATATGATTATTACTGCCTCCGTTCAGTCAGAGTAAAAAGAAAAAAAAAAGAAATCTTTCCATGCCAATCTAGTTTATTTACCATTTCAGTTTGTTGCATCATTTATTTACTTTGTCTGTGGTAACATTGCTTTTAATTGTAAGGTAGAGTTGTAAAAGGGTTACCAGAAATATTTTTACTGACATGGTGCCATGTTGCAGCTTCGTGTGTATGTAGATCCTTTCCTGCAAGGTCTGTGGCCGTGACCGTGGTCACCACCATGGCCATGACCCCCACCATGACCATGACCCCCACCATGACCATGACCCCCACCATGACCATGACCATGACCCCCACCGTGACCGTGACCCCCACCGTGACCGTGACCATGACCATAACCGTGACCGTGACCATGACCATGACCATGACCATGACCATGACCATGACCATGACCATGACCATGACCATGACCATGACCATGACCATGACCATGACCATGACC